TAAACAGTTTGAAAGACGTCTATTTGTACACACATGATACAATTGATGTTACTAATTTAGAACGAGGTTTCGTGGAGCACATGGAAGACCGAACAATATACCGTTGTTTGTAAGGACATGTTTACTGGAATCCAATAAGGTGAAGGACGACCCAATTCTTTATCTTTCGTTGAAATTTCAAAGGCACATACCTATTAGTATCTAGGATTTCCTCCTTGATTAGTGTCGTGTGGTATATGTTGAGTTTCTAAGTGAGCCGTCAATACCTAATTCATTTAGTAAGCTGTTTATGTAATGTTATTTACACGCAAAAGCAATGTTGTTTGGGGCTTTATCTGCAGGAACAACAACATATTTGTCATGGAGGTAGGCAAGGTGCTCTACAATATCTATGGGTCTTTCAAGATTGAAGTAGTCTATGGATTCATAGACCCATTCAGTTTTCTTTTAAATTCTGATTAGTATTAACGACGTCACATCTATAATCAATATGGAAAGAGTATCTACGTCTTCTTTCTCGCGTTTAACCCATTGCTTGGAACAGTCCGCGACTGAATACATCAGCATATTTTGAAGTCGTATTTCCATAAATTAAAGCCATGTTGCGTTAATATTTTTTACTGTTTAAAGACACCTGCTACAAGTTAATCAACGCATTTCATTTCATTTTGTAAACATAAAAAAGGAAAAAGGAGCACGTGTAAGACATGTAATATGTTAATCACGACTCCTGATTTTACCAGTAATTTGACAGGTAAAACGTATTATACTAAATCTTTCGAGCCTCTGGACTGTTCCACGGACAATTTCTTGTACGGAATTGAATGTACTGTGTGCGGGCTACTTTATGTTGGTGAAACTCGACAAACTTTGCGCAAAAGGATGAATCAACACCGGTCTGATAATAAAGATCCGCAATTCAGGGTTCCTTATAACCATTTTAATCAACCTGACCATGATCCTTCTTTATCTATGAAAGTACGCATCATCGAAAAAATTTATCATCACACAAATAGCCCTGTACTAAGCACTCTTTTCCGAAAAGATAGAGAAAATTTCTGGATAAGGGAATCAGGTACTGCAATGCCTTATGGTTGCAATGATAATGTCAAAGGAGTAGGAAATTTGTCAAGTCCAGCCTGCAGTGAGTTTATTTAATACTACCTTACGACAACAACGTAGTCATGGGCAAAAAAACATTACCATCGGCCTAATGTAAAAAAGTCTTCCAAATCTAGATCGCCCTCTGGGAGCTTTGATAACCTTCTTTCACATCTTCATCATCCGCTAGGTTACATTACATTAGAACTATTCTCTTTTCACTGCCTGTTAATTTTCTTAAATGTTTGAGAGATTTTTCTCTTGATAAAGAAAAGAATTGAAAACAACACGTTAAATAATTTTAATGCGTCCGAGCATCTAAAGGATGCATCAATACATTTTCTCCCATATACAAACTTGTCAGTATAATTTGTGATCTAACTCTTTTCCGTCTTTTCAAACCAGTAAGATCGGAACTTTTACATGAGGAAAAGAGGAAATTCCTTCCTGTTCATTTTACCAGTAGAGGAATTGATGCAATCAACATCTGCAACGTTCTACATCACAAGGAGGTAGCATCTAAAATTCCTATTTATTTTCAAAATCAGTCTGTTCCTATTGTATCGTACAGTTACACCAAAACCATTGCACCCAAAGTATTTAACTATAAACAAGCATTGCAGAACCTTGATTTAGAACAATACCTAAAAAAACCCTAAGACATGTGACTGTTCCCCATTCGCCTTATAATTACAGCCCCTCTGGCCATGTTATTACTGGAGATCTAAACATAATTCAACATGAAAATCTCCGAAAGGTGATATCTCATGGTCCTAAGTTTAGAGAACCCCAACACATCAATTGGAACCATAACTTCAAAATAATTATGAATTCTTTTGAGGACTACGCCAGAGCATGGGCTAAACGAGAAGAAGTTGAACTGGACACTTTTTCAGAATGGGTCAAAACAATCAGGTCTCTGATAAAACGTCGCATTCATAAGTTGAAAACTGTGTGAATGATCGACCAAAGTCCATTTTCAGAAAAAAAAGAGGCTGTTTAATGTCTATCATCTCTTCATAATAAATATGTTGTTGTTCCTAAGGACAAAGCTTCACATGATATTGTCTTTGTATGTGAATCATATTACAACGAATGTCTTTTAAAAGAATTAGGAATAAATGAGCACTCAGGTAATCCCACATACAAAGACATATCATTTGACAAGGATGAGATTTTGGCGAATCATAAGTCCTTCATGGTTTCAATGAACATTACACTGGACAACAAATCAGAAGACTTACCTTGTTTGTATTGGATACCTAAGCTTCACAAAATTCCGTACAAACAACAGTACATTGCCGGCTCATCTGCATGTTCCACCAAAAAATTGTCCATTAGATTGACTAAAATACTGTCCGCAGTGAAAGAGGGTCTTCAGAAATACTGTGAAACTGTTTACTCGCGTAGTGGTATTAATCATATGTGGATTCTTAAAAATTCTAAAGAACTTCTGGATAATTTTAAATCTCGGTCTTTTTCTGAAATTAGTTCTATCAAAACTTTTGATTTTTCAACCCTGTATACCACCATTCCCCATGTGAAATTGAAAAATTGCCTAACAGAAATAATCCACAATGCCTTTCAACATAAAAATGGAAGCATACGCTATAAATTTATTACTTTTGGATACCATTAGACATATTTTGTTAATAGCGAACAAAAGGGTAAAACATGCTACACAGATGAACAAGTGATCAGTATGCTGGAGTTTCTTATCGACAACATTTTTGTTGAATTTGGAGGTAGACTTTTTCAACAAATTGTAGGCATTCCTATGGTAACGAACTGTGCGCCTCTCCTTGCCGACCTCTTCTTATTTTCATTTGAATCGGAGTTCCTTCAGACACCTGTCACAAACAAGAAGATCAAAGAAGCCAGATTATTTAATTTCACTTTCAGATATATTGATGGTGTTCTTTCCAATAACTATCCGAACTTTTCTGATTGGGTTCAATTAATATATCCCTCAGAACTAGAAATTAAAGAAACAACAGACACGGCCTCCTCCGCCTCATTTTTAGACTTATACCTCGAATTTGACATACACAGTCATCTCAGTACCAGAATCTATGACAAAAGAGACGATTTTAATTTTAAAATTGTCAATTTCCCCCACCTTAGTAGCAATATAAGAACTTCACCTGCATATGGGAAAATCATTTCCCAACTTATTCGGTATGCAAGAGCTTGCAGCTCCTACTCAGACTTTGTAAAACGTCACCATTGTCTGAGCAAAAAGTTGATGAACCAAGGGTATGTCAAAGAACGTCTCGTCCTTTTTTCTAAAAATGTTCATCGGAAGGTGCCAAGACCTTGTTGATAAATATCCCGTATCAACTTTACAAATAATACATGGTCTTGAAGTATAGATTCTGCGTACTGACGCTGTTTATCATCTTAATAACGTGTTAAAGTGTTCTTTTATTTGTCTTTATTTATATTACTTTTACTGTTTGATCTGTTTTTGGTGATATACATTTGACGTGGCTCTGTACTTATGCATCCCGTCATTGTGCTGTTTGTATTTTTTTTTTCATTTTTACTTGTGTGCTTTTTCCGTGTGACGTTTTATGATTCTTTGATACATATGACGTGTCTCTGTACTTTAAAAATCCCGCCATTGTGTTATTGTTCTATTATAATTTTTGCACACTTTGAAGGACAAAATGATTTTATATCTCTACCTGTGTGACGTTTACATTCTGACGTCAAACACGCAATTCTACGCCAGAGTTAATGTTAAAATTACGATTCGGTCCCAGTGCTTAAAATTCCTCGATCCTTTATGGGTTGATTTGGCATGCATAAATACAATACAAAAATAAGTAAGCAATGAACGAGGATGTTAAAGGTGATACATGCTTTTTTGTGCTTCTTTGTTAAACATTTGTTTGTTTTTGTTGTTATTAAGATTGTGACACGGTGTTGACTGTTGCACCCCTATTTTGACATTTTTACTTATTATGTCTGTTTGTTTTATTCACGCATCGTTGTCAATATAATGGAATTTGATGCGACTGTCATACAGGTGAGAGGTTTAGCGCCATAAAACAAGGTTCAATCCACCATTTTCTACATGAGAAAAATGCCTGTACCAAGTCAGGAATATGACAATTGTTGTCCATTCGTTTGATGTGTTTGTGCTTTTGATTTTGCCATTTGATTAGGGACTTTCCGTTTTGAATATTCCTCAGAGTTTAGTATTTTTGTGATTTAACTTTTTTTTTCCAATTGATTAGGCTCATAATCTTTCGGGCACATTTCGCAGTGAAGTGTTATTTACAATGTTAAGGTCTAGTAATAACGTGGTCTGTCGAATTATATACAAAATGGGGAACTTGCACAGAGGCAATCTGGAAGTTTAGACTTGAAGTCGTCATTATTGAGATCATGCAACACGTGTTTGTAAAAAGTAATTTACGTACGTACATTATTTGATCGATTTAACGGTTTTAATTCGAGCGTCAATGATGAGTCTTTGGTAGACAAAACGCGCGTCTGGTAACTCTGATGAATTTATTTACAAGTGCTTCACATGACTTATATAAAAATAAGAAAATGTGGTATGATTGTCAATCAGACAACTCTCCACAAGAGACAAAATGACACATGAATTAACAAATACGGTTGTGTTTGTTTTAGGATAAAAAATAGTTATTACTGTAGTTGTGACTTGCAGCTGATTTTTATATCGTCATAAGGGAAATACATATATATGCAATTGCTGGCAACGACAATGGTTTTTATCTAACGATAACACTTAAACTGATCAGAATTTAACTATACCCTGGCTAATTTCATTATTTTTTTATTATATGATTATAAAATCTCAATAGACGATTTCTAAACACAAAATTGCAATCCCCACTGTTCAAATATAAAGTAAAAGCATGTAGTATGTTTAACATAAGTTAATTTTTATTCTTTGTCGTATGGTCAAAGCAAGATGGTTTTACTAGAAATCTAATCAAACTACTAGCTATTTCAGCCACTGCAAGTCAATGGACCCTTTTGGACCTGTAATGATAAATTAACAAAAACATTTAATGTCTTATCAATATCTTGTAATACTATTTAAAATGTTAAAGTGAAAATAGTTTCTGGTATTCTGTTTCATTTTTGAATTTTAAATGATACTTCGTACACGTATACTACATCGTAGCAGTATACTTAAAACAAATGAAAAACGAAATTTGAACGTTTTAAAAAATCTACGATCGACAACAAATTCATTAAGGGGTATGAGATACACATACATATATACAAAATTACATGCAACGATGTTCCTTATCTTTAATGGACACTGCAACACGTATTATTATTAAAGTAATAATACATGTATGAAAACTTTTCTTTTCGTCATGTACAAAAAAAATAGTTGTAAGAAAATTAGGCAAGAATAAGCAATCAATTACAAAGTATCAGTATTGGTAATGCCAATAAACACAGCACCCCTCAGTAATAATCTATATATCACGATATAACGAGTATACATACACATTTGCGTAATAACTAAATTTGATAACGTTTTCTTTACGTGTAGTTGAAAGACTTTTCTTTTTAAACATGTTTTATTGAAGGAATATCTAAACAAAAATACCATTATGCATGCTCATCAGGAAATGAAGCTTAACATTGCACTTATATAAACAAAAAGTAAAAACAAAACAAAACAAAAGGAAAACAGCTATTATCTATTATTCATACTACAAATTTGGAAAACATGTTAATTAATCAAGAATTAACAAAAATACCGAACTCTCAGATATATTCAAAAGAGAGAAATCAATCAAACCTCACAAAATCAAACATTAGTTTTTAACAACCAATGGAAAACAACTGTCATATTTCCGACTTGGAACAGACATATCAAAAAGAAAATGATTAGTTAAAAAAGTAAAAAAAAAAAAAAAAAAAAATCCAAACCTTATACCGCATTCTTCAGAAATTTAGAAAGTTGTCATATCATGCATTTAAGTTTGTGAAGAAAAAAATTGAAGAAAAACAATGAAATATATTTAACGCACTTCTGAACAAATTGAAATTTTTTGTTCAATTTTATCGTTCCAATTTAACCCAAACGAAATCAGTGAATTAGTGAGGTCGAGATATGACAAATCTGCCTCTTTTTGTACAAAAACAGTTAATTAGAATGATTGAAGGGTGAATTCGTTTACCTTACAAAATATGTTCATGCTTTTGTATATGCCATACATTGCGTAAATTAAACATACGCATATTAACATTTCTAGGTATACATATGTTTGGTTAAATATCTTCTTACGATTAAAGCAACTGTTCGGACTTTCATCCTCTCTGTGTTTGCATTCTGGTTGGTTGTTGCAGAACCAACTATCATATATGCACATCGGATCATTTTCAGAACATCTAGACATTCCAGTAGGGCAGGTTCTGTCTGTAAAAAAGAGAGTTGTTTGGTACTGTTTAAATTTTGGGATACATAGAACATATAAATGATATAGGATGTTCAGTTGATAATGGTATGTGGAAAAAAACAAGATGTGAAAGTTTAACAATTTGTTAAGCATAACATGTCAACAATCCTTGTATTGTGTACGTTTTTTGAAATTTTTTTCTCGATTAAAGCCAAAATCGAACAATTGCAGTTTTAAACTGAGATCAAGTCTTTATATCATAGTTGTGTCAAAAATATATACTCATTACACCTCATGCTAAATGTTTGAACCTATTATGCATATTTATTCCGAAATAGTCTCTTTATTTACCACTTGTACTCAATTTAGATGTACACCAAATTACATTTAACAACTCGGTAATTAATGTCGCTTTATATACACATACTAGTATACACTTTCTCAGACAGTCAATGCATCAATACATGGATACAATAACATTAAAAAACACACAATGGTCAATATGAACAAACTATACATTGTGATACTATGTGATCCGTGTAAACTCATCGAACCTTTAAACAAACTTATTAGTAAAGGTTATCTTACCAATGTTGTAATTAGATCTTTAAATATAGTTTACATTGGCACTAATATCGATTTTGTCATCAGCAAATCAAAACATAACTAAATTTGTATTCTTTTCAACCGGGATGTATAAAGACACACCCACGTTCATGTTGATCTATAAAGAGGTTAAACTCCTAACTATCCTACTGCCTGTCGATACATTTATTTTTGGCATTGCACAAGTCATGTCTTTTTTGACTGTCCATGACGTTAAAATACTAAATCCCTTGGATGTGTTTTAGCTGATTTAAGTCTCTGATGCATGAATTTTTATCATTAATTGTTTTTGGCTTTTAACTAGCTGTTAGTAACTGCGAGTACTCTCTAATCGTACTTTCTTGTTTATTTGACCTGTTGATACTAATTGTAATGCGTTTTTGTTATTTAATGTTATTCCGGGTTATATCTGGTCTATATACCAGCTTTGATAAGTGTTTGGTATTACTATAAATTTTCACTTCGTACTATGAACATCAAAATTATTTATTTTGTAAGAAAAATTTCCTTTCTCTTTTTGAACTGTACACGTATACCTAACAACAAAATTATCTTCATTCACCTGTGTTTAAAGTAATTGCAAATGGCTGATATTTTTGTTCCAGCATATTGTTTTTCTTAAATTGTTTAAAATTTCATAGCGGTATTACATGTTACTTTTATTATTCTTCCCTTAGTTTATTTATTTTTTATTTACATTGTATCATATGTCAAATTTATGTGTTCAGTGTATGTTCACTGGTGTTAATATGTCCTTTGATTTAGTTAAGCTATTTCAGTTGATATTCTATAGTGTGTCTTTCTATGTTGTGATGTTACACTATTGTTTCAGAAAAAGGGTGAAGGTTTGGTACCATTAAAACGTTTAAACCCGCTGCAATTGTTTGCACCTGTCCTAAGTCAGGAATATGATGTTCAGTAGTTGTTGTTTGTTGATGTGGTTCATAAGTGTTTCTCGTTTCTCGTTTTTTATATAGATTAGACCGTTGGTTTTCCCGTTTGAATGGTTTTACGCTAGTAATTTTTGGGGCCTATTATAGCTTGCTGTTCGGTGTGAGCCAAGGCTCCGTGTTGAAGACCGTACTTTGACCTATAATGGTTTACTTTTATAGACTTTGACTTGAATGGAGAGTTGTCTCATTGGCACTCATACCACATCTTCTTATATCTATATACATATGAAACTAACAATGGTTAAGGGAAAGCATACAGAAAACATTAAGTATAAAGTAAAAAAAAACAAAAATACCAAACTCCAAGGAATATTCGAAACGAAAAATCCTGTATCAAATGAAAAAATCCAAACCATAAACACATCGAACGAATAGAAAACAACTGTCATATTCTTGCTACAGGCATTGTATTATGTAGAAAATGGCATATTAAACCTGGCTTGAATTCTAGCTTAAAATTTCACTTGTATGACAGTCGCATAGAATTCCATTATATTGACAACAATGTGTAAGCCAAACAAACAGACATAATAGGTAAAAATGTCAAATATTGGGGTACAGAAGTCAACATTGAGTTTAAATGTTTAAATAGTAATCACAATAAAAACAAATAATTATTTCAATAAAGAATAAAGACAATGGCATATAGACATTAAGGTGATAATAAAACGTCAGCACCTAGAATCTTTACCATCATATAATTTTTGTGAAGATGATACAGAATATTTATCAACAAAGTCTTGGCATCTTTCGATGAACTTTTTTTCGAAAAGGACGAGACGTTTTTGACATAACCCTTGTTCATCAACTTTCTGCTGAGACACTGATGACGTTTTATAAAGTCGGACTAGTAGTTGCAAGCTCTTGAATACCGATGAGTTGGAAAATGTATATCCCGTATGCAGGTGAAGTTGATATATTGCTACTAAGTATATAATGGTTACAAGCCAGGAGGACAAACACAAGTATTTGATATACGTGCGGCGTTTCTTTGCTAAATATTTATTTTTGTAATTCTTCTGACATAGACGTACTACTGTTTATTAAACCGTATTACGAACATCTTGTCAAAATATGAAACATGGTATTGACAGCTAAGAAAATATTATCAAAGACACCAGGCTTAAAATTTTGTATAAATTACTATTATTGTTTACCTAAACAAGCAATTTGTTTTTATAAATATAGTGTAATATATGTTGTTACCTTTTGTACAAATCTTTGGACTTTCATCCGAGTTATCTCTGCAGTCAGGATATTCACTACATAACTGCATTTCATAAATACACTGAACCTTATCTTCACATTTTACCATTCCAACTGGACAGCTGCGATCTTTAAAATAAGTTGTTATGAAATTAGAATAACTTTATGCATCGTAAACCCTTTGACCTATTTTCCAATTACAATTGAACATGTGGTTTTCATGCATGGTTTAGCTATACTTAAATAAAACATGTAGGTTAAGTAGGTTTAAGTACTGACGACAATTTCTACAGAAGAGCCAACAACATTTGACGAACATTTTTGTTAACAGTGACTCGACCTTAAAAACAATATTCGTATTCCTTTTGCCAATAAAACTGATTTGAATGTTAAGTTTAAATAGTGTCAACGTGTTTGACAGAATAATGGTTTTAATGTTTTACTTGCACGGCCTATGTGACTTGTACATTACTATATGTTTCTTCGTTCTGAAAGGTTAAGTGAGTGTCGACTTGCCAATCAAATGTTGCAAACAATTCCAAATTAATAAAAAAACAAGATCACGACAAAACTAATTATATATCATAATACTGCAAATAATAACTTTGTAAAGAAGTTATATTTTAGGAATACAGATTCTAATTTAAATGCAGGTCCAACATATATGAAAAACAGACTATGTGATTATGTTTGTTTGTTAAAAATATAAACATTTGAGCTTTACTGTAATAGTATCAAACTCTTATGACTTTTTTCCAATCTCTTCTGCGTTTTCTGGTACCTCTGTAAATAATTTCAAATTAAACATACTTTAAAATTAATGTCTATTATTAAACTATCTTTATATGTTTGAATCAAAGACAACTTCAATATATGGTTGGCCACACAACACAAACTCTACTATGAAAAAAATATGTAAAGGAAACTGATTTGTGAAATATTTGATAAATGAAAAAAAAAGTTATCCTTAGACTTTTTTGATACTCCACAATCATATTCATAACCTTTTGAATATAAATTGTTTAATTAATATGATATCAATCGCTGATTCATTTGATGCAAGTGAACATACTCTCTACACATAGATCTGGATTTTCGTCTGAACCATCTGAACAATCTGCAACACCATCACATTTCTTGAAATTGAGCACACATTGGTATCCATTATCACATATAAAGATCAAAGAAGCCAGATTATTTAATTTCACTTTCAGATATATTGATGGTGTTCTTTCCAATAACTATCCGAACTTTTCTGATTGGGTTCAATTAATATATCCCTCAGAACTAGAAATTAAAGAAACAACAGACACGGCCTCCTCCGCCTCATTTTTAGACTTATACCTCGAATTTGACATACACAGTCATCTCAGTACCAGAATCTATGACAAAAGAGACGATTTTAATTTTAAAATTGTCAATTTCCCCCACCTTAGTAGCAATATAAGAACTTCACCTGCATATGGGAAAATCATTTCCCAACTTATTCGGTATGCAAGAGCTTGCAGCTCCTACTCAGACTTTGTAAAACGTCACCATTGTCTGAGCAAAAAGTTGATGAACCAAGGGTATGTCAAAGAACGTCTCGTCCTTTTTTCTAAAAATGTTCATCGGAAGGTGCCAAGACCTTGTTGATAAATATCCCGTATCAACTTTACAAATAATACATGGTCTTGAAGTATAGATTCTGCGTACTGACGCTGTTTATCATCTTAATAACGTGTTAAAGTGTTCTTTTATTTGTCTTTATTTATATTACTTTTACTGTTTGATCTGTTTTTGGTGATATACATTTGACGTGGCTCTGTACTTATGCATCCCGTCATTGTGCTGTTTGTATTTTTTTTTTCATTTTTACTTGTGTGCTTTTTCCGTGTGACGTTTTATGATTCTTTGATACATATGACGTGTCTCTGTACTTTAAAAATCCCGCCATTGTGTTATTGTTCTATTATAATTTTTGCACACTTTGAAGGACAAAATGATTTTATATCTCTACCTGTGTGACGTTTACATTCTGACGTCAAACACGCAATTCTACGCCAGAGTTAATGTTAAAATTACGATTCGGTCCCAGTGCTTAAAATTCCTCGATCCTTTATGGGTTGATTTGGCATGCATAAATACAATACAAAAATAAGTAAGCAATGAACGAGGATGTTAAAGGTGATACATGCTTTTTTGTGCTTCTTTGTTAAACATTTGTTTGTTTTTGTTGTTATTAAGATTGTGACACGGTGTTGACTGCTGCACCCCTATTTTGACATTTTTACTTATTATGTCTGTTTGTTTTATTCACGCATCGTTGTCAATATAATGGAATTTGATGCGACTGTCATACAGGTGAGAGGTTTAGCGCCATAAAACAAGGTTCAATCCACCATTTTCTACATGAGAAAAATGCCTGTACCAAGTCAGGAATATGACAATTGTTGTCCATTCGTTTGATGTGTTTGTGCTTTTGATTTTGCCATTTGATTAGGGACTTTCCGTTTTGAATATTCCTCAGAGTTTAGTATTTTTGTGATTTAACTTTTTTTTTCCAATTGATTAGGCTCATAATCTTTCGGGCACATTTCGCAGTGAAGTGTTATTTACAATGTTAAGGTCTAGTAATAACGTGGTCTGTCGAATTATATACAAAATGGGGAACTTGCACAGAGGCAATCTGGAAGTTTAGACTTGAAGTCGTCATTATTGAGATCATGCAACACGTGTTTGTAAAAAGTAATTTACGTACGTACATTATTTGATCGATTTAACGGTTTTAATTCGAGCGTCAATGATGAGTCTTTGGTAGACAAAACGCGCGTCTGGTAACTCTGATGAATTTATTTACAAGTGCTTCACATGACTTATATAAAAATAAGAAAATGTGGTATGATTGTCAATCAGACAACTCTCCACAAGAGACAAAATGACACATGAATTAACAAATACGGTTGTGTTTGTTTTAGGATAAAAAATAGTTATTACTGTAGTTGTGACTTGCAGCTGATTTTTATATCGTCATAAGGGAAATACATATATATGCAATTGCTGGCAACGACAATGGTTTTTATCTAACGATTACACTTAAACTGATCAGAATTTAACTATACCCTGGCTAATTTCATTATTTTTTTATTATATGATTATAAAATCTCAATAGACGATTTCTAAACACAAAATTGCAATCCCCACTGTTCAAATATAAAGTAAAAGCATGTAGTATGTTTAACATAAGTTAATTTTTATTCTTTGTCGTATGGTCAAAGCAAGATGGTTTTACTAGAAATCTAATCAAACTACTAGCTATTTCAGCCACTGCAAGTCAATGGACCCTTTTGGACCTGTAATGATAAATTAACAAAAACATTTAATGTCTTATCAATATCTTGTAATACTATTTAAAATGTTAAAGTGAAAATAGTTTCTGGTATTCTGTTTCATTTTTGAATTTTAAATGATACTTCGTACACGTATACTACATCGTAGCAGTATACTTAAAACAAATGAAAAACGAAATTTGAACGTTTTAAAAAATCTACGATCGACAACAAATTCATTAAGGGATATGAGATACACATACATATATACAAAATTACATGCAACGATGTTCCTTATCTTTAATGGACACTGCAACACGTATTATTATTAAAGTAATAATACATGTATGAAAACTTTTCTTTTCGTCATGTACAAAAAAAATAGTTGTAAGAAAATTAGGCAAGAATAAGCAATCAATTACAAAGTATCAGTATTGGTAATGCCAATAAACACAGCACCCCTCAGTAATAATCTATATATCACGATATAACGAGTATACATACACATTTGCGTAATAACTTAATTTGATAACGTTTTCTTTACGTGTAGTTGAAAGACTTTTCTTTTTAAACATGTTTTATTGAAGGAATATCTAAACAAAAATACCATTATGCATGCTCATCAGGAAATGAAGCTTAACATTGCACTTATATAAACAAAAAGTAAAAACAAAACAAAACAAAAGGAAAACAGCTATTATCTATTATTCATACTACAAATTTGGAAAACATGTTAATTAATCAAGAATTAACAAAAATACCGAACTCTCAGATATATTCAAAAGAGAGAAATCAATCAAACCTCACAAAATCAAACATTAGTTTTTAACAACCAATGGAAAACAACTGTCATATTTCCGACTTGGAACAGACATATCAAAAAGAAAATGATTAGTTAAAAAAGTAAAAAAAAAAAAAAAAAAAAATCCAAACCTTATACCGCATTCTTCAGAAATTTAGAAAGTTGTCATATCATGCATTTAAGTTTGTGAAGAAAAAAATTGAAGAAAAACAATGAAATATATTTAACGCACTTCTGAACAAATTGAAATTTTTTGTTCAATTTTATCGTTCCAATTTAACCCAAACGAAATCAGTGAATTAGTGAGGTCGAGATATGACAAATCTGCCTCTTTTTGTACAAAAACAGTTAATTAGAATGATTGAAGGGTGAATTCGTTTACCTTACAAAATATGTTCATGCTTTTGTATATGCCATACATTGCGTAAATTAAACATACGCATATTAACATTTCTAGGTATACATATGTTTGGTTAAATATCTTCTTACGATTAAAGCAACTGTTCGGACTTTCATCCTCTCTGTGTTTGCATTCTGGTTGGTTGTTGCAGAACCAACTGTCATATATGCACATCGGATCATTTTCAGAACATCTAGACATTCCAGTAGGGCAGGTTCTGTCTGTAAAAAAGAGAGTTGTTTGGTACTGTTTAAATTTTGGGATACATAGAACATATAAATGATATAGGATGTTCAGTTGATAATGGTATGTGGAAAAAAACAAGATGTGAAAGTTTAACAATTTGTTAAGCATAACATGTCAACAATCCTTGTATTGTGTACGTTTTTTGAAATTTTTTTCTCGATTAAAGCCAAAATCGAACAATTGCAGTTTTAAACTGAGATCAAGTCTTTATATCATAGTTGTGTCAAAAATATATACTCATTACACCTCATGCTAAATGTTTGAACCTATTATGCATATTTATTCCGAAATAGTCTCTTTATTTACCACTTGTACTCAATTTAGATGTACACCAAATTACATTTAACAACTCGGTAATTAATGTCGCTTTATATACACATACTAGTATACACTTTCTCAGACAGTCAATGCATCAATACATGGATACAATAACATTAAAAAACACACAATGGTCAATATGAACAAACTATACATTGTGATACTATGTGATCCGTGTAAACTCATCGAACCTTTAAACAAACTTATTAGTAAAGGTTATCTTACCAATGTTGTAATTAGATCTTTAAATATAGTTTACATTGGCACTAATATCGATTTTGTCATCAGCAAATCAAAACATAACTAAATTTGTATTCTTTTCAACCGGGATGTATAAAGACACACCCACGTTCATTTTGATCTATAAAGAGGTTAAACTCCTAACTATCCTACTGCCTGTCGATACATTTATTTTTGGCATTGCACAAGTCATGTCTTTTTTGACTGTCCATGACGTTAAAATACTAAATCCCTTGGATGTGTTTTAGCTGATTTAAGTCTCTGATGCATGAATTTTTATCATTAATTGTTTTTGGCTTTTAACTAGCTGTTAGTAACTGCGAGTACTCTCTAATCGTACTTTCTTGTTTATTTGACCTGTTGATACTAATTGTAATGCGTTTTTGTTATTTAATGTTATTCCGGGTTATATCTGGTCTATATACCAGCTTTGATAAGTGTTTGGTATTACTATAAATTTTCACTTCGTACTATGAACATCAAAATTATTTATTTTGTAAGAAAAATTTCCTTTCTCTTTTTGAACTGTACACGTATACCTAACAACAAAATTATCTTCATTCACCTGTGTTTAAAGTAATTGCAAATGGCTGATATTTTTGTTCCAGCATATTGTTTTTCTTAAATTGTTTAAAATTTCATAGCGGTATTACATGTTACTTGTATTATTCTTCCCTTAGTTTATTTATTTTTTATTTACATTGTATCATATGTCAAATTTATGTGTTCAGTGTATGTTCACTGGTGTTAATATGTCCTTTGATTTAGTTAAGCTATTTCAGTTGATATTCTATAGTGTGTCTTTCTATGTTGTGATGTTACACTATTGTTTCAGAAAAAGGGTGAAGGTTTGGTACCATTAAAACGTTTAAACCCGCTGCAATTGTTTGCACCTGTCCTAAGTCAGGAATATGATGTTCAGTAGTTGTTGTTTGTTGATGTGGTTCATAAGTGTTTCTCGTTTCTCGTTTTTTATATAGATTAGACCGTTGGTTTTCCCGTTTGAATGGTTTTACGCTAGTAATTTTTGGGGCCTATTATAGCTTGCTGTTCGGTGTGAGCCAAGGCTCCGTGTTGAAGACCGTACTTTGACCTATAATGGTTTACTTTTATAGACTTTGACTTGAATGGAGAGTTGTCTCATTGGCACTCATACCACATCTTCTTATATCTATATACATATGAAACTAACAATGGTTAAGGGAAAGCATACAGAAAACATTAAGTATAAAGTAAAAAAAAACAAAAATACCAAACTCCAAGGAATATTCGAAACGAAAAATCCTGTATCAAATGAAAAAATCCAAACCATAAACACATCGAACGAATAGAAAACAACTGTCATATTCTTGCTACAGGCATTGTATTATGTAGAAAATGGCATATTAAACCTGGCTTGAATTCTAGCTTAAAATTTCACTTGTATGACAGTCGCATAGAATTCCATTATATTGACAACAATGTGTAAGCCAAACAAACAGACATAATAGGTAAAAATGTCAAATATTGGGGTACAGAAGTCAACATTGAGTTTAAATGTTTAAATAGTAATCACAATAAAAACAAATAATTATTTCAATAAAGAATAAAGACAATGGCATATAGACATTAAGGTGATAATAAAACGTCAGCACCTAGAATCTTTACCATCATATAATTTTTGTGAAGATGATACAGAATATTTATCAACAAAGTCTTGGCATCTTTCGATGAACTTTTTTTCGAAAAGGACGAGACGTTTTTGACATAACCCTTGTTCATCAACTTTCTGCTGAGACACTGATGACGTTTTATAAAGTCGGACTAGTAGTTGCAAGCTCTTGAATACCGATGAGTTGGAAAATGTATATCCCGTATGCAGGTGAAGTTGATATATTGCTACTAAGTATATAATGGTTACAAGCCAGGAGGACAAACACAAGTATTTGATATACGTGCGGCGTTTCTTTGCTAAATATTTATTTTTGTAATTCTTCTGACATAGACGTACTACTGTTTATTAAATCGTATTACGAACATCTTGTCAAAATATGAAACATGGTATTGACAGCTAAGAAAATATTATCAAAGACACCAGGCTTAAAATTTTGTATAAATTACTATTATTGTTTACCTAAACAAGCAATTTGTTTTTATAACTATAGTGTAATATATGTTGTTACCTTTTGTACAAATCTTTGGACTTTCATCCGAGTTATCTCTGCAGTCAGGATATTCACTACATAACTGCATTTCATAAATACACTGAACCTTATCTTCACATTTTACCATTCCAACTGGACAGCTGCGATCTTTAAAATAAGTTGTTATGAAATTAGAATAACTTTATGCATCGTAAACCCTTTGACCTATTTTCCAATTACAATTGAACATGTGGTTTTCATGCATGGTTTAGCTATACTTAAATAAAACATGTAGGTTAAGTAGGTTTAAGTACTGACGACAATTTCTACAGAAGAGCCAACAACATTTGACGAACATTTTTGTTAACAGTGACTCGACCTTAAAAACAATATTCGTATTCCTTTTGCCAATAAAACTGATTTGAATGTTAAGTTTAAATAGTGTCAACGTGTTTGACAGAATAATGGTTTTAATGTTTTACTTGCACGGCCTATGTGACTTGTACATTACTGTATGTTTCTTCGTTCTGAAAGGTTAAGTGAGTGTCGACTTGCCAATCAAATGTTGCAAACAATTCCAAATTAATAAAAAAACAAGATCACGACAAAACTAATTATATATCATAATACTGCAAATAATAACTTTGTAAAGAAGTTATATTTTAGGAATACAGATTCTAATTTAAATGCAGGTCCAACATATATGAAAAACAGACTATGTGATTATGTTTGTTTGTTAAAAATATAAACATTTGAGCTTTACTGTAATAGTATCAAACTCTTATGACTTTTTTCCAATCTCTTCTGCGTTTTCTGGTACCTCTGTAAATAATTTCAAATCAAACATACTTTAAAATTAATGTCTATTATTAAACTATCTTTATATGTTTGAATCAAAGACAACTTCAATATATGGTTGGCCACACAACACAAACTCTACTATGAAAAAAATATGTAAAGGAAACTGATTTGTGAAATATTTGATAAATGAAAAAAAAAGTTATCCTTAGACTTTTTTGATACTCCACAATCATATTCATAACTTAAACCTTTTGAATATAAATTGTTTAATTAATATGATATCAATCGCTGATTCATTTGATGCAAGTGAACATATTCTCTACACATAGATCTGGATTTTCGTCTGAACCATCTGAACAATCTGCAACACCATCACATTTCTTGAAATTGAGCACACATTGGTATCCATTATCACATTTTGACATAAAGTCACCACAGCTACGTGCTGTAATTAAACAACAACATATGAATACAGTTAACATAAAATAAAGATGATGATTTTCTGTTTCATCTTTAGATATATGTATCAGGCAAAAAAACAAGAGAAAGACATATCCGAAAGATGAAAACCAAGACAGAGGGGCAGACAATATCAAAGGGTACTCAAACTCATAAGTCGAAGACAAACTGAAAACGCAATGGAAAAAAACGAAAAATTACCAAAGACAAACAACAGTCTACAAAACAAAACATGGAAACCTTAATACTCAGCAACCCCACTCAAAACTGGGTTAGATCCTACATGTCCTAGGTGCCTCGGAATAGTAAGCCGATGTGTAGAAAAATAATAGTGCTTCACACGTTTTGTTTACAACAGAATCATTCATACCGTTGGAAAAAAATAAAGGCCGTAGATGATCAAACATTACGCTTGTTTTTCCAAAATACACCTACCATACTCTATTTCATTAGAATATCTTAAACATCTTACATTTTCGATTTTAATGACTCTGAACAACACCGTCACGTTTCAAAATATAAAACCAAAATATTCAAGACCTGTAAAATTTTAATAACAGATGCTCAATTCACTAGCAATTTAACTGAGAAATCTTATTTTACCAGAAGCTACGATGATCTGAATTGTAAATCAACAAACCTCGTCTACGGATTACAGTGTAACCTTTACGGATGGGTATATGTTGAGGAAACGAAAGGACGCTTAACAAACGTACGTGCGTCCACTGATCATACGTCAACAAGAATGCAAGTGACATTGTTTACCAACATTTCAATCAGCCTGATCATTCAATCCTTTCTATGCAAGTTCGCATCATCAAATAAATACACCACATCACTAACAATCCTCATTTTGCAACACCTCTCCGTATACAAAAAAAAAGACTACTGGATTCGACAATTGGGAACTGCGACACTATATGGTTGCAATGACAAAATTGACGGTAAAGGTATTATATCTAGTCCTTCATGTAGCTCGGTGAATGTGATGAACATTTTCAACTCTACTCCTCGACGTAGACGCAGTCATGGTCATTGCCATTATACATCACCTACTCTCCATGATGTCTCTGTTAATGACCTTCTGCCATTTATACAAAAGCCGTTAGGTATTCATCACATTCGCATGAAGCTTTATTCATTACCCCTTTTCAACACTTCAGTCAACTTGAGCAATATCCTTCACCATAAATCCGTTCAATCGAAAATACCACCCTATTTCAATATCAGTCTTTACCTATTATTTCTTATACCTATACCAAACTAATTGCAACTAAAATTTTCAATTACAAACACGTGTTGTCATTAAGATGCGGAATACATTATTATCCTCTTTTTGTTTTAGATATTTACACTAAGAGAATTACAGCAAATTTGTTAATCTTAAACGTGATTCTATACGAGTTGCCGGTTCGAAAAGCTTGTGTCGCTAGCCTAGGTCTATGTTCATCGTCAACAGTGGACTCTCTTCAACATTGAATACTAGAAAAATTGATGATACAAGACCAACATTTCTGGTGAATTATATTTTTTATTCACAGCTTCTCTCTATGTTCTTTAGTCTTTGCCCAAATACAAAAAAATAAATAAAATAAATTAACACTTGTCAATTAGGGGCAATCACTCCTACGAGTCTACTTAATAGGTAGATCCAGATGTTGTCCTGTTGGTCTTTTTTGCTATATGAAAAGTCTATATAACCTTTTAAAAATTTAAGATAATGGACAAAACCTTACATTATTCGTCAACATATTCATCTAAAAATAAAAATTCCAATAATAAGTGGACTAACGATTGTGGCTTTGTTAACTTATTTGTAGATATGTAAAAATAAGAAGACGTGGTATGATTGCGAATGAGACAATAGTCTTGCTGATCATGTTTGCTATCTAAAGTGGCTATCTTTCGATAATAAATTTTTTTATAAATGGCCGACGAAAAAACATAGGTAAAAATGGTGATTTAAGAGAAATTAAATGGTTTTTAGAAATAGATAATACAATGAAATTAAGTGCAGAAAAAATCAATATAAGAAGTTTGGTTCTGTTACAAATATATAACCATTATTCGGGTCCGATTACAAAGAACATAAAAGGAAGTAGTACATACAGAATGTTTTTAAAGAAAATAGTTCCTACGCATACCTGTGACTTCGTCCGAAAATGAAACATTTAGGTAGCTTTGATATCAAATGAAAGCTCAAGGGCAAGGGATCCATGTAGAACATTTGACCTGTTGATACTAGCTCTTGAATAAAGAAATAAACATATGAAATGATGAAAAGAGGGCATATTTGCTTAGTTGCTAAGATCAGAAGTATATGTTTCTATACTACCCAACATCCGGAAATCACTCCACTTTTCAGCACAAGTCAGGGGAGGTTTGTTTTATAATGAAATGACTGTCATTTTATTTGAACTTCAGATAAAATAGCAATTAGGCTATGAATCAGTGATTTTACTCCATACAGGAAATACATACATTCGTACTCACTTCGTATTATTACTTATTTAACTGTTTTATTATATTCAGTAAGAAATGGAATATCAGTGAATGTCTGGTAATTGGCATAGCTCTTTACTGTCAACTGAGAAATGTATAGTAGTCTCTGCATTTTACCCTGCTACTTGTAACGATAGAAAATACTCATCTTAAAAAAAAGTTAATTAATGAATTACTTTTACAAAATTGTTGTTCATCTTCTGACTCGCCATCACACATCTGTTCTCTAGAACAAATCGTTGTCTGGTCTACACATTGATGACCATTAGGACATTTAGCCAAATACACAGGACATTCATAAGCTACAATATCAAACCAAGAAATAAATAACTGTTTGAAAAATTACTTATTTGGAACATAAAAACAGGTTCAGAAGAGTCATGCAAATCACATTTGCATTAAGTGACAGGTAACAGAATCATTTTACACACTTTAGTCTGAAAAACAAAAATATATTCAATCAATGTAATTCGATTGATTATGTCAAGTATGTGTTTATTACCTATAGATGTTTCTATCGAATGTATTTATATAAAATGATGGCTTGGTGATGCAACATCAAATTGCATCCACTGTATGATTTAATTCAACGGATTGCTATATATCACACTTATTTAAATAAGAAATGCAAATATTGTATTATTCCGGATTTAAAAATCCGGGAGTCTTGAGCACTCAAATGTAATTGTATATGTTATATGTGCATTTAAATGAGTCGTTTGATATTTGATAATATGTTTTGGACAATATTTTTCATACATTATTTTGAAGCGGTTTAACACATATTAACAATATAAGAAGCATAATGACTTGTAAGGGGATATAGCTCATTTGCGTCAATTTGTTTAAAGAAATATGTTCTCTCTTATTTTCATTTCGTTGAGTATTATGTTCTATTTACCAAACTTGAACGCAATGCTGCTTACAAATATTCATGACTGATATGGTTTATATGACAAAGAGTCAGCTTTTGAACAACACAACAAACCAGACAAAATACAGTTACAATGAGCTAGTACATAATATAGTTGAACTATGATTTTAAAGATAGCATAAATGTTAATATTTCAAACTGCTTATAATTTGTTTTTCTCTTTTTTAAAAGAAAAACTAAACGAATAAGATAAAATAGTAAATTGAAAGGATCTATTTTAAAAGCTTGAATTCAGCGACAATTGCTATGTTTCTTTTCTTGCCGTGGTATATTTTCATAAACACTGTCACAGCATATAAAATAAACATTGTGTTTCTTTTTTTTACTGGAATTTTAAAGATGCAAATTGCACCGAGACCATTGTTGTCAAAGGATAAGTTTTCGAAAGAGCATTTTCTCCTTTTCATCTTTTCAATAAGAATCGGTCTGAAAAGTTTTATAACATATAACGTTTGATTTCTTAGTTTAACTATTTTAAATAATTCACAAATTTATACCTGAACAATAATCTGTATCATTATCGGAACCATCTTTGCACTCGGAACCCGAACCAAGAAAATGTCCAACACACATGGAAAAAACACGAATACACTGCAGTCCGTCTTTGCACTTTAAAAATCCAACAGGACATTCATAATCTACAATGAAAAAGCAGATTTACTGTTACAAATATATAACAGATTATGACAATTCAAGCGTTTATGTCGTTAATGTTGTTCATGCAATACTTCAATATAAGTCTTACAAAAGCATGAAAAGCATTGACAACAATAAATTTCAAAATTTGTACGAAAAATGGC